CTTTGTGGATACCAGCTGGCAGATCACAAGCACTGTCCCAAGCCCATTACACTCCTCACCACTCCAATACCTACCAATGCCCACTGTCAGCTTCCCCCTTAATTGCAACCTAATGCAGTCCAGAGCAGAAACTGCTGAAGTCCCTTTGGAGGTCACATCCCCAATGCCCTCAGAGGGCCTGGCAAACATTAACTCAGCCATCGCTCCACCCAGCACTGCCTTGCAGCTGCCTCTGGGGTGGACTAGGGCAGTTTTTTAGTGGTGGTGCTCCTAAATAACAAACGTAGGACAAAGCAAAGCTCTGCGCAGGAAGGCTGCAGGATGCATTTCTCCAAGATGGAAGAGAGCCACGGCCAGGAGTGCATAGCCCCTGGCTTTCCAGGGACATGGTAGGCTGAGGCTTTGGCTGTAATTCTTCTGAGAAGTTTCCTGCATGGCTGGCAGCTGCAGTTTCCTCAGAAGCCTTGTTCCACTCTGGGTTTTCCTTAAACCTGCTACTGAGGTCATGGGATGATGCAGCAGCCCCAATTTGGATACAAAAATGCCTTTTTCTCCTGACCATTTGTAGTTTTGCAGGAGAGAAAGAAACACATGCGAAAGGGGGAACAGTAAGATCTCAAATTCCAAAGGCAAATAACTCCTGCTCTCCTACCCAAATGGCCTGTGTAAGACCTGATTTCTGAGAGGTCTGTCTTGTATTTTGAACACTGGGACCGACAGCGCTGTGAGCAGGACACAGTGCCACCAGCCCCTATGTCTTCCCCGGCAGCCCCCCTAAGGCAGTAGCCCCAGCCCACAGAAGAAGAGCTGCCCACAGCTGTGGGGACTTCAGTACGGCTCATTGCTCCTGTATTTTGCTTTCTGCAGATACATACTGCCTTTTCTGGGCACGGATAACCTGGTGCAATGCTGCCTGCTAGAAGGCACAGGGTTCGGTGCTGCTGCCTGTGGTCCTACAGAACAAAGCCGCTGCGCTGCTGTGGGATCCACGGAGGCTGAGGGAGAGCAGCCCAGCTCCCAGCACACCCCGATCCAGCTGCAGCCCCTCCAGTGAGACTCAGTTGCTCCCTTAGGACCAGGCACATCCTTACACTACAGCCACTGCAGGACCAACTGGACCTTCTGGGGATCCCCCTCACTCCAACCCCTTAACTCTGTACTCCTCCAATCTGTTCCCAGGGCCGAAGCCCTTCACAGAGAGGCAGCTGCAGGCACTTCGTGGGCTCCCATGTCTGTCTCCCTCCTTACCTGCCACGTTCAGCTGCCCGCCCAGGAACCAGCAGACCCTGCCCTGCCGCAGGTCACAGTCCTGGACAGAGTGGAAGGGGGTGATCCAGGTGAGACGACTCCTCCCCAGAGCTCCCCAGAAGGCATCCCCCTGCTCCACTGATACCTTGTACAAGTCTTGGTGGTCCTTGGGTCTGGGGAAGGCAACAGCTTCGGGCATGTAGGCAGTGAGGGGCCCGTGGCTCCAGGCTCGGGCAGCGGCCAACCCAGGCAGGAATCTGGGAGCCTGAGGAAGAGCTTTGGGGCAGCAAGCCCTGGCCAGCAGCCTGGCCATCATCGCAGGGCACCTGCCTCTCACGGAGGAGATGGGTGCCTGGAGCCCTCGTGGCCGCTCAGGACACCCAGCCCTGGCAAGACGGGCCCCTGTGGGAGCTGAGGCTACGTCGCCCTGGGCTGACTGGACACAGAGCAGCTCTCTGCCGCAGGGAGCCTGCGCGCCCCTTCTCCCCTGCCTCGTTCCTCTCCTCCTCTCTTCCAGAGCACTATGGGGAAAAAGAAATTCAATCCCTTTAAGGGAGGGGAAAGGGGTGGGCTGTAGAAACATTTGACTGAAAATAACCTTCATGCTAATCTGAGTCCTGACGGCCGCTCTTGAACAGGAGCCAGGTTCAGCGGGTGCCTGGGCTCCCCACGGGGGCTGAGGTGCCCAGGCCAGGCTCTACCAGCCCGCTCATGCTCCCCCTCTCCCAGGGCTGCGCTGCATCCCCAGACCCCGCTGCTTTGCCCCCACTCGCCTCCCTCTACTTATCCCCATCCCTATCCCCCATCCTTATCTACAGCCCCCCCAGCTGCAGCCCCCCGATCCTCCGCTGGCCACCAGGGCAGGCTGAGGCAGCTTACCTGTAAAAGTTAGGGTCCCCTCCATGCTAGCCGTGGGTGATGGGACCATCCCCTTCTGAGAATTAAGGCCCATCCCCTGCAGAGCATTAGGCTGTGCTGTCTCTGATGGGCCAAGGAAAGTTTTTCTCCTGCAGCTGTCTGCTGCAGGTGGAGGATATTTGTATCCCATCCCACCTCACAGCTGGGCATCCATCAGAGCTGTCCCCTCTGGCAAGCTGGGCTGGGCTCTCTGCCTCCTCCCAAGCACTTCAGACTGGTTTGTACCATACGGTGGACTGGGAGCACTCAACAAGGACATGGTGGAGAGGGTGGTGGTTTGGCACGAAACACTGCAGCCCGTCTCCTCACACGGAGACCTCCCACCACCTGCTGTAGCAGAGCTAAGCTACATCCCTGCCTCCAAACAGATTTTTTTTTTCTGTCTTTAGGCCCTATATAGGTAGTTTTTTTTAAGGCAGAGCTTGGAGGTTTCCTTATTTTCATTGATCAGGTTCCCCCTCTCAGAGGGCACAAGAAAAGAGCAGAAAAAGCTACTCCCGGCAAGCAGGGCTGTTCTCAGCCAGGCACACTAATGGGATCAACAGCAGAGATGAGAGGGTTAGTAGACCTCCTCTGTGCTCTTCATACTACGACACTGCTCATGGTCTGCAGAGCTGGTATGTTTGGTGAACAGGCTGGACACCAATATGGGGGACAGGCGCTATTTGACGGCAGGTGCACTCATCTCAGACCACACACCTGGTTTGTATCAGAGCTGCCCCCAGAGCTAGGTGAGGACCTATGAGGGCTTTGTCCGCCCAAGGAAACGCAGTCTTGCGGCCTTACAGCCCCTCCACAAAGTCAAGCCCAAGCAGCCTTGTCGTTCCACAGGCAAAAAGTCCCTCACTTTCTATGCACATCTGTTCTGCCTCAGCCTTTTTCCCCTGTAAGACATCAGTTTTTTCCATCAGACCATCCCCAGATGCCCTTAGCAGGGTGGGCAAATGTCAGCTCCTTCTCTGATGACTCAGTATGGGCTCCTGCTGCTCTCATATCAGAGCTCGCCTTGCTGGAAATCCCTGTCAGTGCCCTTCCCTCTCAACAAGCTCCCCTGCGCTTGCAGTGTCTGGCTGCTGCCTCCACTCCTCAGGCAAGCTGGGCCCTGCAGCCTGCTCGTGGCAGAGAGGCTGAGCCTGCCCGAAGGTCTGCCCAGCTCTCTAACACCAGGGCGCCTGTGGTACGGGGTGACCCAAAGCACCAGGGCTGTTCTGGATGCTGAAGTGACTTATTCTCTGACCAGTTGTATGCCATGATGCCTAACTTCTGCCCCAGGTACAAGCACACCCCTTTCAGCTTTGTCTTTTGCTGGAAAGGGGGAGCAGCACCCAAGCCCCGTCCTCTCCATGCCTGGGTGGGGAGGAAGGTGCAGACCTCTCTCTGTGCCACTTTGGAGCTCCCACCTCTCTCTGGCTACAGCCTGGCGTCCAACCACCTCTCAGCTTTGGCTGAATTCACCCTCCTTGAACATAGGTGACCAGACTCATACACAGTATTCCTGTTTAGTTTTATTCTTGTTCATATCTTTACAGAAAATGGCACATAAATCACAGATGCTGGATGACTAGAAGTTGTTACAGCTCCATATCTCAAACACCTCAACACTGAATTCTTTTCTCACTGTATATACATTATTTACACACCATGGGCTATCATCTAACACGTCAAACGACTGGGGGACAAAGACAAACAGGGGCTGGATGGAGGGGCTTAACCTTTGACAGAAGAGAAACAGTAGCTCTGGGGAAAGGGTGCTCACAGCTGAAAGCAGGACAGAAAGGGTTGCCTGGAAGTCGCTGTCCTACGGCTTTCGGGGGGGAACAGTGCCTTACTGGGATGGGAAGGTGATGGTACCACAGAGCGGGTTTGGCTGCGTGGGTCTGCATGTGCTTGTGTGGGGCCGGCTGGGAGACATTACGGGGTGTATCGGGGCGGATGTGCATGGCTGTCATTCCCTTTAACACTCAGAGGGCAAGGTGGACAAATTTTATTCAGTAAATACATCGGGCAGATGTTGTCTCGCCTGGAATAATGTATTCAGTAAATAAATTCACCGTTCGGCTCCTCCGCAGGGATGCAGGGCTTTGGCTTTTGGGGCTGAGTCAGACCCAGCTGTGGTGGCCAGCCCTGCGGGAGCCAGCGACATGGGCTGGGGTCACCTTGAGGTGCCAGGTGGGACCAGGGTGTTGTGCCCAAGGGCTAAACCTGCCTCTCCCTGCCAAATGGAAGCAAAACCCAACGGCTCTAAAGCTGGAGCCCCTTTCTGGCAGACCCCAGTGCCAGGTGGGAAGAGATGGGTGGAAGGTGCAAACCATCCTGGACGGAGAGTCGCCATTTCATGCAAACACTGCCATGGGCTTGTCCCACTGCAGCCTGGGCCAGAGGCAGAGGTGACGGCCAGGGGAAGGTGGCGGGTCTGCCTGGGGCACGGCAGGATGGGGCACCAGGGGAACGGGCCCGGGCAGCACTGGGGAGAGACGTGCACCAAGCAGGGGCATGGCGGCAGGGGACAGGCTTGCTCCAAGATGGCAGATAGGGTCTGGGACTGGAGCAGGGGGAGAGAGCCCCAGAGCTGGTCACGAGACCGGAGGGACCCAGAGCCTCGGTGTCCTCTCGGGTGGCGATGATGATGGGACACTTCCCGGTCCCCCAAAAGGAAAGGGGGGAGTTGTGGGGAAGGCCCAGCAGGGCAGAGGAGCGAGGGGCAGGGGTACGCTCGAGGGGAGCAGGCAGGAGGCACCCCTGCCAGGCAGCCCCAAACACAGAGACCGGGGCCCCGCTCCCCGGGCAGGGGCGGCCAAGGGGGCCTGGCAATCCAAGGGGGAACGCGGTCCCCAGAGGACAGTGTCTGTTGGGGCTGGCTTCTGCTGCCTCTTCCCCCCCCTAGATCAGCTTCTCCTCCTTCTGCGACGAGTTCAACTTCTCTGTCTGTCTCTCATCCTCCACCACTGCCGCCTCCTCCCCTGTCTCCGGCTTCCTGCCCGGGGCTGGGGTGTCCCCGGCAATGGTCCCCAGGACTTTGGTGCTGTGCTCCTGAGCTTTGGCCCTGAGGGCGGCAATGCTGTTTTCTCTCAGTTCCTCCTGGGAAATGGTGGGTTTGGGATCCGGGCCCCTCTCTTCCTTGTCACCCTTGTCAAGCTTGGGCAGGGCCTGGCGCTCCACCTCAGTCTTCCTCCCCGCCTCAGCCGCTGCCTCCAGAGACTTTTTGTGCATCCCTAAAAAGAATTGTTGGTATTCGGGTTTAGAAAAGCGCCTGGGCATGGGAAAGCCATCTTGAACTGAAAACAGCAAAGATAAAGAGAGGCCAGAATTAAGGAAAAGCAGAAACCCTCACTTCACGCAGCAGTCACGGCAAGCTGCTCGCTCTGGCCCCCGTGCGAGGGCAGCCCAGGCAAGGCAGCTGCCTGCTGGGGCAGCCCGGCCCCGGCATCCATGGCCTCGGGGCTGCCCCCAAAGGTCTACAATTACTCTCCCCTTCATTTCACTCTGTGAACCTAAAGCTGACTTGTCCCCGCATGGGGACGAGGGTCTCAGACAGCAACACAGTTGCCTGAGTTTCACCGAGGCTGGGAGGGAGCTCCCCCATTGCCTATTCCTGTATCAACCTGCTCTTCACACGACCCACCCCTCTGCCTCTCTCAGTTTCACACAGATAGAAGGACAGGACAGCCTGTCATCAAGATGCTAGACACTGGTTTTGGGGCGGAACCAGCCTGAAAGGTCAGAAAGCGGGAAGCAAACAGCAGGAGCACGGCAGGGTGGCTGCTACCTCCGTGTCTGCACAGAAAACCAAGCAAAACCAGGCAGAAATGCAGCTCCCCTAGATGCCGAGAGCAGGAGGAGGCAGCAGCCTGTTCCCCCTGGGACTTGGGGCAAGGAGAGCACATTTGGGGGTCCCGGCACCCCACACAGCATCATGGGGCTGGGGGAGTCAGACCAGGATGACCTCCTACCTTGGGCACAAGGGATGCTTGTGCCATGGGAATCAAAGGCTAACACCAGCCTGAGCATGGGGGGCAAATTCCTGCCCTGGCCAGATCCTGCAGGTCAGGATCCAAGGACCAGCAGGGATTTGGGATGAGCAGTCAGACCCTATTGACGAGGGCTGTTGGGGGACAGGGGGGTAGAGGGCAGCGGGGCAGGGGGACCCCGCCCCGCCACCCTCCAACCGTGCTTTTGACACAGCTCCGGTTTCTTCCTTATATCCTCCCACTTCATCTCAACCCACTTGCCATCCCCCATGAAGGCGGCTGCTCTCTTACCTAGGAGCCAAGGGGCGCAGGACTCCATGATGCCATCCTTGGCAGACTTGAGGATGGATTCAGGCAGCGGGATGGAGTGACGCACCATGGCACCGTACAGCCCGTACTCAGCCATCACGCTGCTCCTGCCCCAGCACTTCTCCCTCTTCCGCCATTTGGCCCGGCGGTTCTGGAACCAAACCTGGGGTGGGCAACAAGGAGGGACATGTTTTTTTTGGGGGGAGAAGGTGTGTCAGTCCCCTTCTTGCATGGGAACACGTGTGCTCGTGCAGTGGGATGAAGGCAGACTCGTGGATGCTCATCCCGAAAGCACTGCCACCTCTTCCCCCATGCAGCAGCCGCCGGGTATCTCTCCCTCCCTCCCTTGCAGGAGCAGCAAGGGCCAAGCATGAGAACAGGTCCCATCCCTCTCTGCAGGATGTAATTAATTTGCCATCGTGGCATCTTTTTCTAGTGGCTTTTGGCTCCCGTGCCTGGGATTTTCCTTCATTATTTACGGGGTGTCTGAGCTGCAGCGCGGGGCTGCGGGCAGCAGTGCCTGCAGGGAGGGCTGGGACGGGGGCGGATGCTCGGGAGAGGCGGGAGAAGGGGGAAGCTGATCTGTGCGCTTCGCCCTGAATTCCCAGTTTGAAAAGCCCCTCATCTTCTCAGAAAATTGGCAGAATAATCTCTGAGCTGTGACCTGGGGGGCAGCCAGCAGAGAGGCGGGGGGCGGCGGGGGGGGGGGGGGGG